TTCGGAAACTCCCCCAGCTTTTTAATGAACCTACCAAGAATCTCTCAGGTTCCCGAAATATTGAAGGAAAACCCTCTAGTTGATAAAATTATTTCCTTTAGGTATAATACACGAAACTGCGAGTATAAATTGTTTAATGTGACCCAAAAGTCAGTTCAATTGAGCCATCAACGATGTTTTCAAGGTCTCGAGCAATGGCCAATTACCTCGGTTAACTATATTTTTTACTATTTGATCGATTAAGCGCGGTCACTCGATTCGAAAAAAAAGAAAGGAGTGAAAGAGAGGGAAAATGGCAGGAGAATGACTAATTGCGAGGCGACCGGAATAGAGACGCGATGCCCTTTGAATCCACCGACAGATTAATTCAACTCCCACTCGTCTCTCTAGTGTACCGTTTTTTTTCCGATTCCTTGATTCGCAATTTTTTTCATCTCAATTTTTGCTTATGGAGGAGGTGAAAAGGATGGGGAGAAAGAGTGAACGGATGCTCAACGGTGATTCCGTTGCGGAGGCGTACGGAGGAGATACTTTATCTGGAGATAATGAGGTCGGACAGATAGGATTTAATGAACTTGTGAGGAAATTGGATACGATGAAAGGAACAATTAATTGAAATTAATTTTTTTCAATTTTTGTCGTGAGATATTGTAGGATATTAGTGAGTGCATTTACAGGCTAATTATCGATATATTTGCGTTCATTAGGTATTCTATAATTTTTATTTGCACTAGTCTGACGGCGCGCCTCTGTGACGGGAGAATAGACGAATGAGAGTTGATAGACTCAGACATAAACCACGTGTGACAGCCTTGCGAGACACTTCGATAGTTCTGCGTATGAGACGAGACAAGATGAGACTTTGGAAAGCATCGTCTCAATCTCGAAAAATATCCAAATTTTAAGTATCGTCTTGGTCTCAGAGTAGAGAGTATCGTCTCGTCTCGGTCTCGTGAGTTTGAAAATTGGAAAATCGGTGAACGATCATAGATTCGCGCATAAAGAACCGCCTTTTCTCATCAGTATCATAAAATATCGTATGAAAAACTGTACTTCCTGACGAGTGTAATTGCAGACACTCGTCAATAACTATTTTTTTTCACTTTCAATGGAATTTCTATGACGATGGATTTGAAATTGAATTTAATGATTCATTGAATTCAAAATTGCCCCAACGCTGGCCGACAACATTATCGCAATGTTGGCAGCCAACATTGTCCCAACGATAATATTTTTTACCTTTCCCTGAATGTTGGTTTCAAAATACATTTTATGTCACACGGCGATAAAAGTATTCTTTGTCATTCCGGCCGTAAGGCAGCGTTTCTCTGCCTACGGCCGTCATGACAAAAAATACTGTTCGTCATACGGCCAAAAAAAACTTTTCGAGCTCATATGAACATATGAACATATGAATATGCAAACTCATATTCGCCAGAAAAGTTTTTTTCGGCCTAGTGACGAAATATACTAATCTGGCGAATGTGATTATAATCCTCGCTTTCGACTCGGATTATAAAGCCACATTCGCCAGATAATACTTTTATCGCCTGATGACATAATCTAATATTTTCAACAATAGATGATCCAATCAATCTCATGATCAAGCTCAGTCAAGATGATACTCGGAAAAATATTTTAAACAATAATTGGATTAATTTAAACAATTATTTTTGCAGTTATCGTCGAAAAATCATTCAGTCACATACACACATCCGGACAGGGTGTAAAAATATCATATTCAAACTCCTGAGGCCAAAAGTAGTTATCCTGATACAAAAAATTGAAAATTTCGGATTTGACGAATACAATGCTTCCATTCGGAAGCCAAAACTGTTGTCAAAGTGAAATTGATTGTTCTTTTTCTCCAGAAATGAATTTTCACCATCAGAAATTGATATAAATATTCTATTGATTAATTATTAACTAATCAACATTTTGCCCCCTTTTCAGAGAAATATTTGGGATGGAAAATGAACAATAATAATAAATGCGATATTATGTCTCCAATGAGATGAAAACAATCGACTGGTTATCAACGAAACTAATTGCTTATCACTATATAAATTCGAAGTAAATTAATTACTTCTAGTGATTGGTAATCAATAAAGTTTTCCTGTTGAACGAGACGAAAAATTCCAAACGAGAAACTCCATTATTTGCATTATTTCCTCTTCTATCGCTCGCATTCACGAATAATTGTGAATTGAATTTTTACATTCAGTATTTTTCTCGGGGAAAATGGTATGGAGTAGTGGGCGGATGTTTCAGAGAATTCAAAGGAGAAAACCGAATTCTAATTGGTGGAGTGGAGTTGGCGGGTGAGGTGCATTAATTAAGTATTGCGTAGCGATTAATTATCAGTTCAGTGGTTCGTTGTGAATGGAGGCATTATGATGGTCATTCTCCTCTCATCGATCTCTATTGTGAATAAGAAATACTACGAATGATGGAAAATTCGCGGAAATCTCTTGTTTGAGGGATCTCCGGGTAAATGAGCATTTTTTTCCATGAAAATCCTTTCGAATGTTCTCATTAAATATAGCTTCTATTTAAACCCCATTTGACCCTTGGTTTTCTAATATTCTAAAATGCCTCTATCATCTAATCTTTTCCGATCTCTGTTTGATTCTCCTTTTTCGTTACTCGTTTTATTCCGTGAATAATTTATGAGAAATTAATTATTAACAACGTTATTTCCCTGAAACTAAGTTTTTCCTTATACAAAAAGAAGAAAGTGTATAGTTTCCAAAAGTGACTTACTGATTTTTAAAAAACTAAGAGTTCTAGAGAGTTCTAATCTTCCCACGATCCTATTCTAAAGGAACATACACTTAAGGATATCCAAGTACTTCGTTCAAATTGGCAACTTTTTTTCAAGCAAGATTTCAGTTTTGTCGAAAATGTTGCCGTCCCCATACTTTTTCGGATTTTTCATTATTGAATACATTTTTTCGGGAATTTCTTCAATGAATATTGTGAACAATATTTTATTCAATTTCACACTTGACTCTCGTTGGTCTAACCTCTAATGATCATACGGCAACACTGCACATGTGTTGTATATAACCTCGTAAATTCGATCCGAGTAGTCACTTGAGCAGACTGTTGCCAGACGTCAGGAACGCACGGATTCAAACCATCCAATATGGCCGTCGTACCAATCAAGAAGCTTTTAATTTGATTGTTTGCAATTATCTGTCCGGAAACGTATGTTTTTTAATGTCGCAAAAAAAAAGTCATACAAAGTCATACACGGTTATGTGTACGAGAAAACGCTCTAAGACTATGAACTATTGGATTGAAGGTGGGAGTATACAGCTCTTATGGACGCAATGTGTTAAATTTCATTCTTTCAAAAATCGTTTTCTCGAAAATATGTTCGGAAACTAAAGTTTATACTGCGCCTAAAAAATACTCTTGGTCTAGTCTATAAACTTTGAAGGGGATTTCCCCCAGAAAAAATTGCCTGAACTACTTGGATATCCTTAAAGTCGATAACTATCGATATCTCGTAAGTCTGTCACGCTTATTCCTCATTGGTTCCAGTCGTCTGAGGTGGCAAATTTAATTCATGATTAATTTAATTTTGAGATTTTCAATTATGATTGTTACAATTACAGCGCGCTGCAGCGCGTGTTGGGTCTCGTAGAGCAATAACATTCATACATCGTGTGTAATGATTTCCTTCATATCCCCCAAATTTCCTCCAACCAATTCCCTCACGTCCAACAATTCAATCCCTCCCCCTCTGCAAAAACTAATCCACCCCAATTTCCATAAAAAAAAATACGGCCAATATTGTGCCGAATATCCGGCAATATCACCAGTATCAGTTGCTTCATGAATGTCCTGTACTCTGAGGGAGGCGTTGGAAGAATTTCAATTTTTTTTCCAAGCGATGGTGCATTGAGGAAAAAATCAAAAGAAAAGTACAAGAAAAATAAAGTAATATTACATTACGTCATCAGGCGATGAGGGTATTATCTGACGAATGTGACTTTATCATCATATTCGTCAGATAATACTTTTATCGCCGTGTGACATACAGTATTTTATGTCATTAGGCCCGAAAACCGCAATTCTAACCTCGCTTCGCTGGGTTAGACCGCGGTTTTTGGGCTTAATGGCATAAAAATGTTTTTCATCACGCTGTGCGAAAATAGTACATTTGGACACTAGGCCGTGGAGAACTTTTTTAGCGAATATGAGGTCACAGAACGAGCCGACGGCGAGTTCTGTAATCATATGAGGTAGAAAAGTAAAGAGGAAATTCCTGTGCCAGCACCGGAATTTCTGCCGTGCACTACAGGAATTTTTCTCGGAGTTACCATGAAAAATTCTTGTACTCCACAGCAAATTTTCCAGTGCTGGCGCGGTAATTTTTCCGGGTCCGTCCAAACGAACTCATTTTACCGTGCTGGCACAGTAATTTTTCTGGAATTTTCTGCTCCGTGTAGTGTGAGATATTGTGCGCTTAGTAATTTTCGAGCCATGAATTCCTTGATACAAGTAACGATGTAATTCTCAAAAAACTTTTGTCTTCCCAGTGTGTGTACAACGTCGCTGTTCCCACTATCGCTAAAATAATGAATTCCCTCATATCCCCCAAATTTCCTCCAGTCAACTCCCTCACCTCCAACAATTCAATCCCTCCCCCTCTCGGAAAACTAATCCACCCCAATTTCCATTAAAAAAAAAACACGGCCATTATTTCGCCGAATATCCCTCAATACCACTAGTATCAGTTGCTTCATGGACACCCCGTGTACCCTAAGCCAGGCGTTCTGGGGTAGATGCTGCGGAGCGCGAGGGGTGACCAGTCAAGGGAGGACGGCCTCTGCGCGGTTATCGATCGCCCGGCACACATCCAACCCCCCCTCCAACCCCCGCTTTTCCCAGTTGGTTAGAGTGACGAGGCGGTGGGGGAAAGAGTAAAAGTAAGGCGCAGTGGTGTTCGAACGTTGTGCTATCATACAAACCCCCTTTCGCGTACGAAACCAACCCCCAGACACTGTCTCCTGTCAATCGGTTCACCACGCGGACTAGACCTTACTCCAAACTATCCTCGTTACCCTTCTCTCTTTTTTTTTAATCGCGCTTTGTCGGTCTGTTTGTTTCGTAGGTTTAACTGGGTAAATCGATAATCTCAGAAAAAGTGGTTAATACTTTTGGAGTTGTGAAATATTCAGGGAGAGGAAGAGGGGACCTTCTGTGGTTTTTTTGTAAAATTGGGGGGCTTTTGGGCTGTGGAAACTCACCAGTTTGAGGATTCAGGTGAGAAATTCAGGATTTTTTGGGGATTGCGGGACGTGAGTAAGGGAGATTGCCATTTCGGGACAACCGCGTTTTCTCGACGGTTACTCTCGTCAGGCTCTATTACCATTGTGAAGGTATTTGTGGGATGATTTTGCGAGTGGGTGTGTGGGTTTCGTGTGTGAGGAGGTTTAGAGTTCAGAATTGAGAATTGTTTCCTGGGCGTTGGCGACAAAGATGTTTTTAATTTAGGGAAAAACTGAAGAAATTGGAAATTTTTTTCAGGGGATTGGAACATTACGAGGAAAATGCAGTCGAATTATTCCGTCTTTCTCGTACTTTTTCACTAACGATTTCCAAATTTTATTGTTCTTTCGCGAAATGTTATGGTCCAAAGAGGAAAATTCATTCCTTGTCTCACAAATTTCTCCGGATTTCAGCAAAAAATTCCTGAAATACAATTTTACTCTCCGTTTAGTTAGACAATGCAGTAGTTCGTCCTTGATCTTTTTCTTCATTAAAAGAATTTCAGTGGGATTTAGGGGTTGAGAATTTCTTTTTAACTCTTCAACATTTTTGTTTTCCAGAACCTTCATTAAAAAATTTGTAAAGAAAATTTTTCCCTCGCAGTCTCTCTTTCTCCAGGGATTATGGGGAACTTTGAAGGGAAACTATCGGTTGCGGATTATTTTTTACGAAGAATTCTTTATTGACGAGGGGATGGTCTCGGGGATTTTGTTTTTATTATTTGTGAATTATTTTTTCGTTATTTGAATTTTCAAAATTGATAAATAACAAGTGTTATCTCGTTAGGTTTTTTTCTCCGCGGGATTAACTCTCCCCCCCCNCCCCCCCCCCCTCGGAATTCCCCGGAGCAAAAAAAATCTCCGCGAAAAAATCACCGGAGAAAAAAAAACCGTCTTGGAGAATTAAGATCATTATTTCACATTTTCACTATTAAAAAGAAAAAATGTTTTTGCGAATGGAAATTTAATATTTGCTCTTTTGTGTAGGGAGTTAACAGTTGAGGATTATTTGGAAATATTTTTTTTTCCTTTTGCTTTTTTGTGTGTTGTTCGATGGTAATTGGAATTTCCTTACCTTTATTGAGGGAAAAATACAATTGCAGTGGACGCCGGGGAATTTAGCACACGTACCGGCGCATTCAGTCGGACTGACTATGCACTTGATGGGAAGTGTCTCATCGACCGTGGAAAGGACGATATTCAGTGAGAAATAATCTGTAAAAATGAAAAATTGAGAGTTAGGGATTTAATCCGGAATTTTTTGAGATTTTTTATTTGTAACTCGCTTTTGTGTGAGGAATGCATGAGGTCTCAAGGTCTTGAGGAATTATTTCTGCTGAAAGGGGAGTGGATAGGTGACGCTTATTCAATGGTACACTTACAAGAATTCCTCATCCCCGGTTCTGAACGATTTTATAATAGAGAGTTTGAATAGATATGAATAGATTGAATTTTTCAATCAAAAGCTCGGATTTTTTAATATGCAACAATTTCCATCGTTGAATTTTTGACGTTCCAATTTTCTAAATCTATTTACTGTAAGAATTGAAGAAATAAAAAGTGAGGAAAGTTTTTTCGTCTATTTTTTCAATTGAAAGCCTTAATTCTTGCATTTTTTATGTTTAGATCGAGAGATCGGTAATTGAACACCTCAGAAGAAAAACCACCAATCAAGATGGCGTTCGCAGGATTAAAAAAACAGATAAACAAAGCCAACCAGGTGAGTACTTTTCCCGCAACCAGAATTTTGTTGAGACATTACAAACGAAAGGATGAATTCGAAATAGGCTTTCATACTATTTTGCGAACATTTCTGAAGTCACTATAATCAGATAAATAGTTTCTTCGAATTGAATAAATTTTATCCAATAAATGGATAAAATGGATAGTTTATTTAAATAACTCGTAGAAAAGCGTTTATTCAAACTTATACTTGATTTTTATTTGTTTTTATTCCCATCAAATGAATTTTTTTTTCATTTGACTTTATCCAAGTACTTTGACTAGTTTTTCTCGAGTGAAATGCTTTTCTACTTTGTAGTCAAACATCGGAGATTCCAATTGAGCCCAAGTTTTCGGATATTTTATAATGATTTTATTATTTAAACTTTGAAGGTGTGAATATTGAACTGTTAGAAAACATTTTTTAAATCTGAAAAAAAATTAGGAGTTTACTTTTGGGGGAAGATTGAATATTGAAGATGAAATAATATTAAAATTTGAATTTTTCAAATTTACGAGCATTTTTTATAAACAGTTTATAAACAGTCAATGTTCAACTACAAAAATCATTTGTTCGGAATCGTAACAAATTTATTCACATTCAAAATTTTACCAGAAATCTATTTCATGCCTCAAAAATAAGTTTTCCGAAAGTTTAAACAATTTTAATTATTTATTTATAAACAACGAATGTTCAAAAAAATAATAATTCTGTGCAAACTATAGTTTTAATGACGCTGAATATTCATGATTTTTCCCCCATTTTTCTTACGCAATTTAATTGACAAATTTTATGATCGAAAATGGTTGAATCTATAGTATGGTCTGTACTAAAGTGTAGAAGATACGCGGAAAGCAAAATCCCTCAAAAATTAGCGTACCTTCTCACCCACGTGTGGGACGTACCGTAGGGGGCACAGCAAAATAGAGAATACTCTATACAAATTGGATTCTTACAATCATTCAGACTACCTCTCTCCAAACTTTCATGTACTGCACCCGACTTTTTTCCGTTCATTAGAAATTAGTTTGAGAAATCGTATTTTTATGGCACCAGAGACGAAAAACTGGCGGGCGCTCTCCAGACTTTAGTCTGCCACTCAGTAAATTTTCATCTGCTCTCCTTTACTAGGTGGTGACCTCTGTGATTTGAAAAATGAATTGGCAGGAACTGTAAAATGTTGATTACACAACCGAATTTCACCTATGTACAGGCTTACTTTGTGATGAGAATTCATCATTTTTAATTGGTTTCATTTTTTTCCTCTTCAATATAGCCGGTGAGCGCACGATAACTCTACACGGAGAGAAATATTCAATAAAAATTACGGAGCGCAATGCGGTTGTAGGAAATTTTACGGAACTGTCACGAAATTTTTCCAGATCGTTCCGTAATTTTTACCTGAATCTCCTGTGAAAAATTACGATACCGTCACTTAAATTTTCTGAGTCGAGTCCGTAATCGGTGAGCGAACTGTGAGTTCCGTAATTTTTACTGAATATTTCTCTCCGTGCATCGGTGTGCCTCGCATGCACGTGGAGTATCGCATGGAATGCGAAGCTCCTTGTGAACATTTTAGCGGATTCGCATGCTATTTTGAAATTTTGAAAATTGACAAGAAAAAAATATCTCACACTGAGAAAAGAGACCTTTGCAAGAATGCGACTTCTCGAACCAAGTCAAATGATTTTTGCATTAAAAAACTTTGGACTTCAGACTTGAAAACGACTGAATAAATGGATTCAATTAGACTTGATTTGAAATAAAAATATTATTCTCTTCTTTGGGACAATACAAAATCTTGGCGAAAGTTTTATCTTTCTCAGTGTAGGATATTTACTTCTTGTCATTTTCGAGCCATGAATTTCGGCGGGCTCCCTGAATAAAATTAAGTGCCTTTTTTCATAATTTTACAAACTATTTGTCATTCATTGTGAAAATAAACATGATAAATACTGTAGGAAACAATGAGAATCAACAGGAATGTAATTAGGAACAATCGTAATTTCTATAGTAATTCCGATACATGGAAATTTCAGAAATTGGGGAAAGCATATTTTCGACCTTTCAATCTCACAGCAAGATTATTTTCATCTTAAAAGTACGGAAAAATAACAGAATAATCAAATTGACAAATCAATAATTGGGTGCATTTTCAAATAACAATAATAAAAAAATTTAGAGTTCCGAGTTGAAAGCGATTGAACAAATTAATTCAACTGGACTTGATTTAAAATTTAAAAAATTATCCTTGTCCTTGGGACAGGTACAAAGTCTTGTCAATTTTCGAGCCATAAATATCGACGGACAAAATAGACCCCCTGAAAAAAGTTAAGTGCTTTTTTTTCATAATAATTTTATTGAATATTGGTCATTTATTATGGAAATGGACAGGATAAATACTGTGGAAAATAATGAGTGTCAACAGGAATGTAATCAGGAACAACCGTAATTTCTATAGTAATTCCGATAAATGGAAATTTCAGAAATTGGAGAAAGCACATTTTCGCATATTTTCGAATAATCACATTAACAAATCAATAATTGCGCGCATTTTCGAATAACAATAATAATTCTTTTTCTTTTTTTTTAGAGACAGGTTCACTAAAATTTTGAAGAATTTCATAGTTGAAAAAATAAGGGAGTCCATTTTGCTTTCGGGGTTCATTTTGTCCTTCGGTCCATTTTGCCCTACACTCCCCTTCTAATAAAAAATCTTTTTTCTCAGTGAGTTCCATATGGAATTCCGGCCTTTGAAATACGTCAAATAAAAATGATTTTTATATCGCAAACCTAAAAGTGACAAAACTGAAATAAACAGTGAAATTTGATTTAGCATGTTAAAAGTCCCTCTCCATAGCGGATCGCGTCATTTAATGAGGGTGAAACACTTTACCAGGAACGTTAGAGATAGAGGGCTGAGGAGCGAGTTCGAGTTTCATGAATTTCGCTAAAGTTCCAGTGACTATCGAATGAAATACCACGTAAGAGGGACCCGTGTTTTAGTGGCTCTTGCTCTTCTCGTGTTTCAAATGCGTGGGTATCACGATTTTTCTGGTCACTTAGACTCCAGAGTAATTCCGGGAGATGACCTTTCGCCTCCAGTCGTGTTTGGTAACGTTCATAAAAGTATCACACAACTCACAAAGACTAATAATGTACGGAGGTGTTGGAAACTTTTGAAATTCATGGGTCGAGAATTTTAATTTAAAGTTGGGGCCAATTGAGCAGTGCATAGGCTTTGCATATTCATTTTTGGGGAGGCGAGTGGTAAATGATAAAGATCATTTTTGCAATCCCATCAAGGAATTTTTCGATCCGATATTCCTTTTTTCAATTAATTGTTTATAATCATCTTCATTGCGAAAAGCAATACGACCGATGAGAATCATATGTCCCAATTTATCAACTGTTAAATTTTCATATTAACGATTTGAAAATTTTTTCATATAAATGATTTGTTCATGTTCTAATTCAGTAGTGAAGTGGTAAACGGAGATAAGTTGACTTATCTCCCAGTTGAGTTTCTGAGGAATATTTTCGAATCTAAGGGAGATAGCGAAATTTTCGTAATTATATTTGTTGTAGCTCTCAATCGGCTCTACAAAAAAGGTTATAACAAAAATTTTGCTGTCTCCCTTAGATTCCGAGATATTCATTGAAAACTGGTCAGTAGTCAAAATTGACTTGTACCGTTTTACCACTTTGGTACTGAATTGTACTCATAGAAACCTTCTTAATTTTGCCATTCGTTAGAGATATCTTACATGTTCAAGTTCTCATTTTCGATTCGAGATATTGCCCATGTTTTTTTTTTAGAAAGGAAAAGGATAACATTATTGGCTTCCGGATGGATGCCGCCTTTGGTTTCAGCATTGCACCGACGTTTCGCCAACATTGCAGTCTGCATCTTCAGGGCTGTGAGCTCCGATTCTAAGCTCCGATGTCTGAGGGTATTCCTTTTATGCCTTCCCCTGTGATGACGGCGGTAGGGGAAGGGACGGGGGAGTGGGGGTCAGCCAATCATATGTTTTAATTGATCAGCTGATTGGCTGACCCCCCCCCTCCCTTCCCCTACCCCCACCATCACAGGGCATAAAAGGACTACCCTCAAACATCGGAGCTCAGAATCGGAGCTCACAGCCCTGAAGATGCAGACTGCAATGTTTGCGAAACGTCGGTGCAATGCTGAAACCAAACGCGGCATCCATCCGGAAGCCAATAATGTCATTAACCATGACCGCGAAAGCCTTAAAACTAAAAAGGAAAAGGATAGTTTTTTAACTTTTACCGGCAAGTTAATTCTCCATTCAGGTATATCCGAGTATTTTGGGTATCATTTTCAATTTTTTAATTTATTCCTTAAGTATACCCTCTCAGATTTTTAGGTTTTTATTTTTTCGTCCCCTGTGGTGCCATGGAACTGATTTTTCCCCAAGTGCACTGAATTATACACGAGTACCGAGTGAAACCATGAAAAACCTCAGTCGTACAGGCGGCCGATGGTGCAGTCTCGGTGTACCCTCTGTCACATTGACTAGAGGGGGACACTGGGCCACTACACCCGTATCTACTGCTCAGCAATTTTTGTGCGAGTGGGTGACTTAAGCGGTCACCCATCCAAGTACTAACCACACGGAGAGAAATATTCAAAAAAATTACCAGAAAAAAGACGTAAAAATTACGTTTCGAAACGTAATCTGGGAGCGAAGTAACCCAACTAGAAATTTGACTCGGCAAACTCTTCGGCCCTGATGCGGCATGCCGAGTCTGACGTTGGGTGCTGGTGTGGTCAACCGAGTCCGGCCCAGATGAGGCGCGTTACGCGAGTTTCACATTCGGGTCGGATAATGGTTGCCGTATCCAAGCCGAGACGTGGGGGCCAATTAAAATTATTACTAATCTTATTGGTAATTTATCATCAATTTTTGCTCATTCAATCGACACTCTCAAAACTGTTCCGAAAAATTGTTAATGACACCGGTTCAATAATTTCA